TCCTCTGGGAAAAACTCCTTAGACTTCACCAAGACCAAATCCCCTACAGCAAACTGTGAATGTCTATGGTGCTTATTCGTCTGTTCAATCATCTGATGTTGTGCCTTCCTTATATTCTCCGTGACTCTGTCTAAATCCTTCTCTTACTGCAGGGCGAATTCTCCAATCCCTGGAGGAAGTCTTTGCACTTGATCAGGGTTCAAACAGTCAACGGGCCTGCGTGGGCGCCAACCCAAATGCAGTTCAGTGGGCGTTCTCGCTGTAGCTAGATGCACAGAATTGTTTTAGGCACTAGCGACCTTGGCCAGATGTTCATCCCAGTCAATCAGATCTGGCCGGATATACATATGTAGCACTTGCTGTAATACCTTGTCCATTTGCTATCTGTCTGTTTGTCTCAGGGTGTCTGCCTGAAGAGATAGTCAGCTTGGAACCATAGACGTTCATGAGCTGTTGCCAGTGCTCGCCCGTGAATTGTGTATGCCTGTCACTTACAATAGTCAAGGAATGCCCATACTCTTTCACCCAATGGTTGAAAAACTCCCGAATCACTAAGTCTGTCCTAGCCTCAGCACGGATTGGTACAAAAACAGCAAACTTGCTAAACCTGTCCACTATTACCATAACTTGGCTCTTTCCGTTTCTACTTCTAACTTAAAGTGTCCATAAAGTCTATAAACACGGAGTCTCCAGGACCCAACAATATAGGCAGCAGTCTAAGTAAACCAAGGGGAGGTTGCGTGGAACTCTTGTTCCTCTGACACACTATGCAGCCTTCTACATAAGCTATGCAGTCATGCTTCATTCCAATCCACGTGTAGCAACGTAAGAGGTTAGCACAAGTCTTCCTCCAACCGAAGTGTCCCTCGGTATCGTGCCGTTCCCCTAGGACTAGACTGTGAATCTCCTCACTATTCAGTATGCATAGTCTGCCGTGCACATCTGTCTTCTCAAACAGCAGTCCTTGGGTCATCCTATAGTTTGAAACTTCGTGTGGGGCCGTTTGCACCTTGTTAATCAATTGACAATAGACAGGATCACTAGCGTAAGCGGTTCTAATCTTCTCTTGTAACTCGGCGCCTGCATCCAAATATATTACTATGGCACCGAAGAAATCAGCTCGTCTGCTTAGTGCATCCACAACGACATTATACTTCCCCTTTACTGGCTTAAATTCAAAATCAAATTGATCTATCGCCCTTGTCAACTTAGGTGCCATCCACGCTTGGGTCTTTAGCCATCAAAGTGTCTCATGGTCCATCATCACCTCCACCATCGCCTCCTCCTAAGGCTACAGACGCAATGATGTTAGTCAACTTCTGGGTGAAGAGTCCATCTTGCTGATGGGCGAAGTCAAGGATCCTCTTATCAACCATGTGGGAAGAGGCATTGAGGAAGTTATTCCACGTTCCTTGGAGCTCCTCTTGGTGTCTCTCCAGCTTCCAACAGATTTTGTAATGCAACGAGTTCTTGGGTGATGTGCAACAGCGTATCAGCGATGAGGCCCAATTTTTCATTCACATCTACCTCCGTGTCTTTCTTCTCTATCAACAAGGCTTGGAGCCTTTCCCTCAATCTCTTGTTCTCATCATACTTTGTCCTCTTTTGGTAAAGTAAACGCTGATCAAGGGTGCTCCTCTCCTCCAACAATAAAACTCTCTCCTCATCATGAGCAGCAAATGTCATCTTAATTGTAAACGCATTTTTTTCTTGCTCTGTCTCTTCCGGCATCTTTGTACGGTATCCAAATTTGGCCACCCATTCTATATCTTCAACCTGCCGCAGCCTTATTTTTCCGGCATGGCTGCTCTCAGCCACCTCCTCTTCCTCTGGTCTGGTTCTTCTCCTTTCAAGGAGTGGACCCCATATTACGGACAAGGTCAAGAATGCAAACATTGTGTAGTCGTGCATGGTGATCAAAAGCACAGGTAAGTAACCTCCACCTCCTCACCACGTAGACCTAGTCCTCAACACTTAACCTGCCTAAGTTCTCCCCCCCCCCCGTCCCCCCCCACAGTGTCACTACAGCTACCCTGTCGAGTTCGTGGGCAACCAGCAGTTTTTAAAGTCAGCCAGGGAGGACCACAGGAATTCTTTAATGACGCAGACAGGACTTCATGCCCACCAGGATCTGAAGGTTCGCTCTCAAGACTTACAACTCCTAACTGTGTCAGCTTCGGTTCGGTCGCATGCCGGTCAATACCGATCTTAGGGCTAGACAACTTGTTTTACGACTACTCGCCGCTCATGCCCATGCTTCCTACTTACGGGTGAGTCATCCAGTTGCCGAGCTTCTATCCTAGACATGACCTACTTCATACACATGTGTCTGACCAAATGCTGACTAAAGACAAAATCAGATATGTCAACAAGTGAGATGCGAAGAGAGATTCACGCCAGCGCCGCGCCGGTCAGCGCTACGCAGCCTCCGGCATTCGCACGCAAGCTTGCCGCGCACCCCTGCACCATAGCCATTGTGTGCACACGTGCGCGTGCGCGCGTACGCGAAGCATGCATGATCATGGGACTCATGGCGTGCAGCAGACAGGAGAGCACAAGGCGGGAGTGCTTTTGACTCAACCACAGGTTTCTACCATCGCTAGAAGGAGGGAAACGCCACGTGCCCGTATGTTGGATATGGTCGAAGAACTGGTCAGAAGACAGGCAAAGAGATTTCCAGACGAGCGAGAGGCGTACGGTTCAGTTCGATCTGGGGCACCCATCATTGGCAGAAGGATTGAAGGAGGAAATTGCCACATGTTCCCATCGTGGACTTGGTCGAAGAACTGGTCTACATACAGGTAACGAGTGATTCGTACAAGTGAGATCCAACCTTCCATAGCGTACTAACCCCCTTCCCTACGATCTGTCCCTCTTCGATCCCCCATATTTGTCGCCTCTCTACTCTACCTTTCTGCTTCACGCCATCCTCGGCCCTACTCCCAATCATCCCTCTAACCCACCCTTCTTCATACTTGTCGTTTCCGACCTTTCGATACCAACGCTTCCCTCTGCCCAATCTGCTCAACAGAGATCACTCCAAGCCCCCTCCCCACCTCCTTTCTCCTTCATCGCTGGTTGTCCCCCGAGTATCTTGAATCGGGTCGAGGGTACAGACTAAACACAGGCAACAAGCGATCCATACGAGTGGGCTTTCTCCACATCCGTTCTCCCTCGTCTGCAAATTCGGTTAAGGGATATCAACCGAATTCCCTCCCTCCCTTCCGTGCCTTCCCATCCCAAGACTCTCCCCCTCTTCCCCGCCCCTCGCACGACCATCACCACACCAATCTCCCAAAACGACCTCTTCCATTCTTCACGTCTCCCCCATTACCCGACCCCGTACGATCCTACGCGTTCTTCTCATAGCTCGCCATTCTCACTACTTGGCACATTTCCCGAACTCTGTCTATTATCATCCTGATCCCTCCCCCACACTATTCTCCTCCCGCCCACCGCTCTCATAGGACTCTTGGGACACTCTACCCTCGGTTGTCTCGTGTGTTGGGCCGCGTCTCCTACACCACCCCCTTCCTCTTCATCATCATCTTCTTCTTTTTCTTCTTCTTCTTCTTCTTCTTCTTCTTCTTCTTCTTCTTCTTCTTCTTCTTTTTCTTCTTCTTCTTCTTACCCTTTCTCAG